GGAAGAGTCAGCATGGACTTCCAAAGGGGAAATTATATTTAAACGAATTTGCTAGAGTTAATTTGACATGGATTTTTGAAAGGGAAATCATGCTTGACAAACCAGCTGGAATTTTTCAAGGATGTAACTAGTAGCGTTGATAAGGGGGACCCAGTGGATATGTTTTACTTGGACTTTCATAAGGCTTTCAGTAAGGTCCTACATAAGAGATTTGTTTGTAAAATTAAAGGATTTAGGGTAGTGTACTAATATGGATAAAGAATTGGCTCATATCAGAAGTAGTACCAGGCATACCTAAAAATGAGGTGGTAACCTGGTGAAGATACAAAATAGGACTACTTGTGTCCCAAACACCATAAGCAGCAAGTGATAGACAGAGTTAAGCAACCCCACAACCAATGGATCAGATCTAAGCTGTGCAGTTCTGCTACATCCAGTCATGAATGGTGGTGGGCAATTAAACAACCCATTGAAGGACGAGGCTGCACAAGTATCTCCATCCTCAATGATGGAAGAATCCAACACATCAGTACAAAAGATAAGGCTGAAGCATTCACAGTAATCTTCAGCCAGAAGTGCCAAGTGGATGATTCGTCTCGGCCTCCTCCGTTTGTCCCCAGACTTACAAATACCAGTCTTCAGCACATTTGATTCACTTCATGGATGCTGTAAAGACTGCAGGCCCTGACAACATTCCGGCAATAATACCAAGAACTTCTGCTGTGGAACTCACTGCTCCCCTAGCCAAGCACTTCCAGTACAGTTACAACACTGGCATCTACCTGACAGTGTGAAAAATTGCCCAGGTATGTCCTGTACACAGAAAGTAGGACAAATCTACCTGTTCTCCAGTTGTGAAGAAGGGTCACTGGACCCGAAATGTTAACTCTACTTTCTCTCCACAGATGCTGACAGACTTGCAGAGTTTTCTCAGCAATTTCTGCTTTTGCTTCTGACTTCCAACCTCCACAGTTCTTTGCTTTTTATCGAGATGTATAACTTCTTGGTGAGAGCACACTTGGTGTATTGTGTACAGGTTTGGTCTCTTTATTTTAAAAGATTGTACTTGTTATACACAAAGTACACTGAAGGCTCCCCAGATTGATTTCTGGGATGGTAGGTTTGTCATGTGTGTCTGCTGAGCCTGTATTCAATAGTTTAGAAGAATGAGAGGGGATCTCAATAAAACATTAGAAGTTCTGACAGGTCTGGACAGACTGGATGTGTTGATAATGTTTCCCCTGGCCAGGGATCCTGAACAAGGAGTCATGGTCGCAGAAAACATGGCAGGCCATTTCAGACTGAGATAGGAGACATTTCTTCACTCAGATGGTGGAGACTAATTTACTGAATATAGTTAAGAAAGAAATTTCAGGAAGGCAAAGGCATCAAGGGGTAAAGGGAGAGAATGGGAGTATGGTATTGAGATAAAGGGTCAGCCACAATAATGTTGAGTGGCAAGATGGGCCGAATGGCTATGTCTGCTCTTATTTTCTATATTTGGATTAACTATCACAAATTGATATGTTTGAAATGAAGGCAGTATGTAGAAATTATTCTACTTTGGACACTCTTGCTTCTTATTTTGGATTAGGCTAACACTGGCACACGATTTATGAAAATTAAAATGCCATCTTTTTCTCATACAGTTGTTGCATTGTGCCAAAATATGTACGAGTGTGAAACTACTCTTAGAGAAATAGGAACATTGGTACATAGAAATAGGGATAGGCCATTCGACCCCTCAGGCCTATGCCTCCATTCATTTAGATCATAGCTTAATTTGAACCTCAACTCCACTTACCCACGTTAGCCTCCTGTCCCTTGATATGCCACACCTGACAAAAATCTCATGGTTCATTTTATTTTAACTAAAATATAATTTAAAAGTGTTACCAAATCCACATATTAATGGCCTTTCCAATGATCTGCCTGGGGATATAGAAATCGGCCCTTGCTGATGTTGCTTTTATGCAATTGACCTGCAATTGACATTTAGTTGCTACAAAAACTCATCAGAAAAGACTGAAGCTTGAAGAAAAAGCTGTTCGAGGATGAAGACTGCAGCGAGCAGACGTCAGGTTGACTTGAGATATAGCTAACGATAGCCAAGCATAACATCTGATACAGCCCAAGCCAGATGTTTTAAAACATGACTACTCAAATAATTCTTTTAAGGAAGAACATATATTATCTGCAAATTTTAATTCAATCCAATGCCATTCTGCTTCGTTCTAATATCTAAAACATATGGCTTTGCTAAAAAGCAGCCATATACTGGACTACTAATGATACATATTAATTCAGACTGCTTTAAACACAGAGACATTTTGAATAACAGTTTGCTTTTTAAACAAGAATCTCATTTCTTTGGGTAGTGCTTTACCACAAAAGTTGTTTAAAATGTCAAAGACTAACTCTGCCCAGAGACCATTTCCTGCAAAGAACTGCAACTCCTGGGGGAATCTCTGTGGTCAGGGTTTAATTGACCATTTTCAGCACCAGTGCCAGATGCAGTACACTACATGATGTCAATTAAGCTGAATCAACACTGAAATGTTGCATGACCCCTAACCCTGAGGTAATTCGTATATGGTCAGTTCTGCTATTTTCCCCATTCATCTCAACATGCGGTAACCATTTTGCATATTTTTACAACAGAATAAACTCTTAACTCCTAATGGACCACCACAAGGTTTAATTGAGGTGAATCTCGTGGAAGATTTTAAGTGGAAACTGGATAGGTATATGAATGGAAAGGGAATAGGTAGGTTAATAGCCTTAGATGAAGTAAGGTTGGAACAAGTCCATGTGGCAAATGAATACTGGAATTGGCTATCAGGCTGAATGGGCAGTCTCTGAGCTGTGGTCTAGACCCATTTCAAATTCTCTACATGAATCTGTTAAAAACAATGTGCAAAGACCTTAATGACCAGAGGATAGCTTGAAATGCGTTACAACTAATCAAGTACTTTTGAAGTGTAGTCTCTGTCGTAGTAAACATGGTAGCTGATTTTCTGCACAGCAAGGTTCCACCTAGAGCACTTAACTAAATGATCGTAAAATCTGCTTTTTTCATGATAACCAAGGGTTGAATATTGTCCAGAATATGTGGAGGATCCTCTGTACTCTTTTTAAAAAATTGCCCAAGGGATATTTTACATCCACCTAAGACAGAATTGTAGAGTCATAGAGTCTGAGAGATGTAATCAAGTGGTATTTGCCAGCATTTGGCCCATATCCCTTTAAACCCTTCCTATTCATGTACCCATCCAGATGCCTTTTAAATGTTCTAATTGTACCTATCTCCACCACATCCTCTGGCAGTTCATTCCAAACCCTCTGCATGACAAATTTGCCCCGTAGGTCCCTTTTAAATTTTGCGCTTCTCACCCTAAACCCACGTCCTCTAGTTTTAGATTCCCCTACCCTGCGAAAAATATTCACCCTATCCACGCCTCTCATGATTTTCTCAACCTCTATAAGATCACCCCCTCAGCCTCCGATGCTCCAGGGAAAATAGCCCAGCCTATTCAGCCTCTTCCTAGAGCTCAAACCCTCCAATTCTGGCAGCATCCTTGTATCTTTTCTGAACCCTTTCTAGTTTCACAACAACTTTCCTCCATATAATGTTTCTTGTGAAAGGCACACTGCAGTATACATTGATGTGACGGCCTAGATCAAGTGCTCAAGTTTCTAGAGTGAGGTCTGATCCTATAGAACCCTGACTGAGAGGTAAATACACTTCAACTGAGCTGTGCCAGTGTTGGAAATGCAGTAGCAAGTGCGGATTCCTTTTCAGTAATCATTGTCACATATTAATTGTTACAAAACACGTGGATATATCTAAGATAAAGTAATATGCCTTTCAATGCATGTTCCTATCCTTAGGCTGCATATCTCCATGATTCCAGAAATGAAAAACTTCAGTCATGAAGATAGATTCAAATTGGGATTGTTCTCTTTCGCAGAAGAAGGCTGAGAGATTTAGCGGAAGCTTTCAAAAAGCATGAGTTGGCTGGACAGAGTATATAGGGAGAAGTAGTTTCTGCTTGTGAAAAGTAAACAAAAATGAGAGGGCATTGATTTAAAGTGATGTGTAAATGAAGCAATGGTGATGTGAGAAAAAGTGTCTTCACACAGCAGATAGGGTATGGAATATATTGCCTAGAAATATTGAGGTGGTAGTATTCAAGAGGGCAGTGGATGATTATTTGAATAGAAATGGGGCTCAGGGATTTGGGGAAAAAGCAGGAAATTTGTAGTAAGGAGTAGGACCTGTGCAGGCACCATGTACCAAATGGCCTTCTCCTGCACCATAGCAATTCTGTGATTCTATGGGTCTCTGAAAATGTGAAGCCGCTGATACTATCCGAGGTTGGTGCTCAGCTGGCACTGAGGAGATGTTTGAAATGGCTTTCGTAGAGTATAAAGTTATTATGCCCAGAGATTATGGACTTACTGCCCAGAAATCAAGCTAGCATTATGGTTTGTTACTGAAACTGTCCAATTTTCAATTCTAATATAATCAATGCTCCAGACCTTAATCAAAACTAAGGAGTTGATTCCCAGATGCCAATTTTATGTCCCATCCCTTTCTCTGTAACTTTCACATGTCCTACAGCCCTCTGAAAACTCTACATTCCTCCAACTCCAGCTATTCAACTATGGTGGCTGCTCCTTCAACTGTCTAGACCCTCAATTCTGGAATTCCAAATTCCAAATCTCACATCTCTCCTCCTCCTTTACTTTGCTGCTTGGAGCTTACCTCTTTGACCAAGCTTTTGACCACTTGTCCCGATGCTGTCTCTATACTGCAGTGTCCAGTTTCTTTCGACGACCTTATTACTTTTTAATATGTTAATAAAGGCAGTTTATAATATAAGTTGCCATTGTCTGCAGATACGAAGATACTAAAAAAAACACTTTAAATGGTGCTTTCACTGCTTCACCTGAATAACAAATCTGACATGCAATCTTTTTTTTTCATTTCCGATAAGGAGAGAAGCCTTATCAGTGTGATTTCAAGGACTGCGGTCGACGATTCTCCCGTTCAGATCAACTCAAACGACACCAGAGAAGACACACTGGTAAGAATGTCTTTCTATTAATAAAGTAATTGAACCCACTGAGTTCAGCATGATTATTAATGATCATACAAGCTGATGGGCAAGAGAAGACCAGCTAGTAAATCAGGCATGCCCACATTTCATGGTTGCTGGATTATAATGACTAAATCCTTCAGATATCCTCTTGCCCATCATCTCCACCTCAACCATGTAACCTCCTGGGAGAGACAATACAACAGAAAGCAGTCAAGAGCAAGTAACTTAAAAAATACACTGTTAAACCCGGTCTGATCCACTCAGCTGTTGAAGCCAGTCCAGGAGATCACATGTAATAAGTGCTATCTTTAAAAAGGACATATTCCATATGACACATATCAGGAATAGATAAAATTCCCTCTTGAAGGTGAGCAGAATCAACACAGTAGGTGACAAATGTATTTCCTGCAGGGTGTGATGCACAGACCATACACAGTGGTGAAAAAGTTTGCAAATACATGAATGTATAAGTCAATGCCAATGTGTATTACATGCAGAATGCTAACTACAGTGAGAACGTTAGCCTGTCTTTTCTCTGACAGCCCTGTTCATGGGGTACAAACATGACTGACAATGCCAGACGTAATTGCCCATCCTTAATTCCCTTGAGAAGCTGGTGGTGAGCTGCTTTCTTGGTTGCCTGCACTCTATATGTTTGAAATTGCTTATGGCAAGACCGTTCCAGGATTCTGACCCAGCAACAATGAAGAACATGTTTTCGAATCAGGATTTTGCATAAATTACTGGTTGGCGTTGCACCCATGCATCTGTTGCCCTTGTTCTTATTGATGTTCAAGATCACAAGTTTGAGGGATACTGTCAAGGGAGTCTTGCCAAGTTGCTGCAGTGCATGTGGTAAACGGGACACATTCCTGTCACTGCATTCTAGTGGTGAAAGGCACGTATGATTAGTTAGCATATTAGAAGCACCTATACTTGCCTGTTCAGCACTTTATCACCTTTGTCCCTACTAAGTCTTTATGCATACTTTCTAAGCTGGGCAACCTGATTAGAATTGCTTTTTCTTCCCTTCCTTAGGGGTAAAGCCATTCCAGTGTAAAACATGTCAGCGTAAATTCTCCCGCTCTGACCATTTAAAGACTCACACTCGAACTCATACAGGTAAAACAAGTGCGTAAACTTTTTTTTTGACATTTTACTTTCTTAGACGCGGATTTTAATATTTTAACAGCTAATATTCACGCTGCTAACGTAATACGTCAACCCTTTGAGCACTAAATGTTATTTTTGGAGCTAAATGCCTAATCTTAAAAAAGAGGATAATTCTTAAATGAGGTTTTTTTTGAGTTTTATCACCAATTGATTCCCTTTATTCTCCCCACAGGAGCTGCTGGCCGAAACGCAGCCTCCTTGAGCTGGGAGGGCAGGATGGTTGGGCCTGCGGACTTCTCCATGACCACCATCAATGCCACTCCATGAAAGGTCAACAGGGAAGTGTACTTGTAGCAGGGGGAGAGACAGATATACCAGTTTTTGTTTTTATTTAAATACCCACCCCTAATCTACACACCACCAACCCTGAAAATGCACACAGAAGAGAATTCTGTTATAATCTTTGATATTTTGTTTGGAAATCAAGTCAAGTACTAAAGTGAAATTTTCACCAGTGGAGGCTGGCAGGATTCAAAAGCAGCCCATAAAACCCTTAGAGGTCAGTTTTTCTGAAATGTTATTTTTATGGTTGATTAGAATTTAAGAATTCCACCACCTCCAGACCAAGTCCATGAGACATGTATAAGTTCTGTTTGCCCAATAAGGAGGCATTCTGTTTACCTTAGATCAGAGAAATTTGGAAACAGTTGGCATGATCCAAAGCTTAGGGAGCATTTAAAAATTTAAAAAGTAGTGCTGGAATTAAATTAGTTAACAGAGATCAAGCTTCCTCTTGGTGGTAGCGCTCCCTTGCTCCCTTGGCTAATGTTTTGCAGAATTACACAAACTGAGTTGAAAGAATCCCCTGCCCTCGAAGGTAGAACTACTTTCACAGATTTTATGAAGGTGTGCAATTGATTTGTCAAATCAGCAGTGCTTTTAGGTACTGTGGACTTACCTAACTTAGGTTTTTAATGTTTGATTCTATCATGGAGGGTTGATTTGCTTCTGCACTTTCAGTGCTAAATATGACTTGTTGGAGCCATCTGGATTCCAAGATCCAGCTTAGGTTATCTGCCACCTGACACCCTCTTCCCCAAGTAGGATTAGAATTGATCCTAGGAATGAAAAAATATTTTTCATGATTTTATTATTGTTTCATAAATTTCAAAACTTTGTGTAAATTGTACTTTTGGCTATCATTATAGTTAAAGTAACATAGTCCTCAAAGGGTTAAAATCTGCTCAAATCTTTCACAGCATCAATGATTTGTGAAATAACAAATGTTTTTAATTTGATTTAATTTAATTTGATTGCACTTGTCCTTTTCTTGACAGCATTTTCATATCAACACATGTAAACTCTATAGCTTCTGTTTAATATATATAAAACTTTATATCAAAGTTTGGCAGGACTTTAATAGTTTGTAATTCATGGGCAGCTTGACTCACATTCATCCAATGTACAAAATAAAATGGTTATTTGCCTTAATGTATGGATACAGATACTGGTGTCTTTGGGATTGGGAGAAGGGATGTGTCCAGTATAACTTGACCCATCAATAGGGGGACCTGAAATGGTTGATTGCATTTATACTCCATTGAAGTCAATAATGAGTTAATAAGTTGTAAAACTAACATCTCAACTATGGGTTTCCATCCACATTTCCAGTTTGTAAAAATATAACTGAATGAAAATTCCTTTCGAGTTGAGGGTAGAAATTCTTGTTGGTTGTCATTTTGTGAAAGCCTAATATTTTTGTGACAAATTTCCATCGCTGAAATGTTAATGGCAGTGCCAATCTCTTTAAGACATGATAACTGGATGAATACTAAAATAGTGCCAATGACACAATCACTTCATCAACAATAATTTCTTTACTTTCAAAGATCTACACCATAAATTAGTTACAAAATACCAATATAGTATTGAGATTATGCAAGAAAATAAGGTATGGGGCATCAAATATTCTTATGCAGCCTAACAATAATAAATATTGACTCCATACCTAGCGGGGTCAGTCAGAAATGCCAAAGGCCATGATGTTGAAAAGTCATGTTTGTGCTCTTTCTGGCTTGAAGTTGGGACAATGTGCTGGTGCAGAAGGAAAGGCTTTGGAATCTATTTAGGGCTGTGACTTGATACCAAAGTCCCCAGTTCCCCATTAAAAGTGATGCTTACAAGCATCATGTACGTACCTCAGAACTTTTTGGAGACTTATTCATGGATTGAAAACAAGATGTCCAGCACCCAGAATCTGCCAAAGTTGTCTTTTGTGAGGATCAGTCCCACAGGGAATGCCAAATCACTGCAGCCTGACTGCAATGACATAAAAATCAAAGAATCCTACAGAACAGAGGGAGGCCTTCTGGCCATCATACTTGTTTCGTCTCTGTGAAAGAGCTATCCAATTAATCCCACCTCCTACTCAATCTCTTTAATTCTGCAAACTTTCCCCATCAAATATTTGTCCAGTTCCCTTTTGAATCTTATCAATGACTCTGCTCTCACCACCTAGCCAAGCAGGGCATTCCAGATAGCTCTCAGCATAAATTTTATCATTCTCATCTCACCTCTAGGTCTTTTGACAGTCACCTTGAGTCTGCATCCTCTCATTATCAACCTTTCCAATCCTGAAAACAGTTACTCATTATTTCTGTCTCAAAGTGTAGTGAATTGTGGAATTCTTCATCAGAGACGGCTGTCAAGTCTGCGTCGTTAAGTATATTGAAGGCTGAGATAGATAGATTTTAATCAGTAATGGAATGGAGGGTAATGGAGAAAAGGTAGGAAAGTGGAGTTGAGGATTATTACATCAGCCTTGACCTCATTGGTTGGCGGAACAGAGTGGCTAGCTTCTGTTCCTTTGTTCTATGGGCTAATTTACTAATCAAAGCCATTCACAAATTTGTCCTTTATCAAATCTTCCCATAAGACTCCCTGCTGTAAGGATAAAATTAAAACAGATTTTCCAGTCACACAACATAATTGGTATCCCTCATTCCTGGGATCATTCCAGTGTATTCTGCACCCTGTCCCAGGCCTCACCATATAATTTCAGTGAATTAATTTACTTTCTATTATTCTAAATTGGATTATCAGAGGAACTGAATTTGAAATGATGGTGTGCAATCCAGTCAGCCTCTGCTTTTAAAAATTGCACTGGAGTAGTTCAGAGGAAGGGGAAGGATGATTCATGAATCTTGGGTTCTGATCCATGACAAGCTCAGAGTGATGAACTTAGTTTCTCTGGAAGACAGATTGAGGGAATGATGTGATTCTTTAAAATGCTGAGAGATGTGGCATGTGTAGGTGTAACTTGGGCCATTACTACAAACTGAAGGGAATTTAGAAAGTTAAAAATTCAAAGAAATGAGAAGAGGTCATCCTCCGTTGAGTTGTGGCTATATGCAGCAAATTTACAGCATGGGTTCAAAAGAACATTAATAAATGGATCAGACCATTCAGTTAAATACTGGCTGACCTGCATCACAACCATTATCCTTAACGTCTCACATAGCACAAATCTTGATCTCAGTCATATTAGCTTTACTTGTCTTACAAGCCTATTGCGAGGACAGTTCCTGATTTCCACAAGCCTTCTTGCGAAAAATATTCTCTTAATTTTGTTCCCATAAAGTTTAGCTCTTACCAGAACAAGTTGCTTCTTTATTTGTTCCCTACCATGTTCTTCCAACATTTTACGAACCTCAATCAGATCACTTCTGGACCTCATGTTTCAAGGCCATGTTTATGCAATCTGTTCCCAAAACTTAAAGCTCTAAAGACCTTAGAAGGAAGCCAATTGATCCACCATGTCTCTGATAGTTCTTTGCTAGAATTCAAAATGAATCTCTTGCTCCTTCATGATGCCATGGCCCTGTCCATTTTTCTGCTTCAAGTATTTATTCAATTTTCTCAAACAGTACAGCAATATCTGCTTTTACCATATCCCCTAGATAAACATTCCACACTTTCACAATTTTCTGTCAAAAAAAGATTCCAAACTTTGTTCCAGTGACACATTAAAACCATTGAATCCCTTGTCTTTGACTCCCAACCAGAAATAATATTCTTAATCATTTGGTAAAATCTACTTAGGCTGTATGATAAGAGTTGGTGCATTGCAATTCATCCCTCTGACATAGTTTCCCATCGTTGATAGAATCATTGAGCAAAAACAGGTTAAATATTGTCAAAAAAAGCTTAAATATGACTGATTGAAAGTGGAGTTGGGGTTTACACAGGGATAATCCCAGGGAATGGCACGACATATGTAATTCCATCTGAAAGTCCATCTAGTTAAAACATGATGGACTGAATGGCTCCCCTTCTGTGCTGTAATCATTCTGTGATTTACCAGCTAGGTACCGGCCAAGATGCTAAGATTATCCATGGATCCTAATAAAATCTAAGAGGCTGGGGTTGGGACATAGGAAACACTGAGTCAGACTGAATAACAGTCGTATGTGGTTACGAAGACCATATTACAAAGAACAAAGAATAATACAGCACAGGAACCGGTCCTTCGGCACTCAAGCCTGCGGCAACACATTTTGTCCTTCCATACTAAAACTGCCTTCACTTACAGGGTCCGTATCCCTCTATTCCATTCCTTTTCATGTATTCATCCAGGTGCTTCTTGAATGCTGCTATTGTGTTTGCTTCCAGCACCAACTCTGGCAATGTGTTTCAGGCACTCACCACCCTTTGTGTTCAAAACTTGCCTTGCACATCTCTTTTAAACTCTGACCCCTCCCCCTCTCCACCCCACACACACACACCTTGAACCTGTGCCTCCTAGTAATTGACCCCTTCATCCTGGGAAAAAGCCTTATATTTTCCACTCTATTCATGCTATTCACAATCTTATAAAGTTCTATCAAGTTGCTGCTCGGCCTCCTGCATTCCAGTGAAAACAAACCCAATCTATCCAACCTTTCTTCATAGCTAAAATCCCCCATACCACGCAACACCCTCGTAAACCTTTTTTGTACCCTCTCCAAAGCATTCGCATCCTTCTGGGAGTGTGGTGACCAGAACTGTTAACAATATTGCAAGTGTTGCCTAACTAAAATTCTATAAAGCTGCAGCAGAACTTGTCTATCCAGATACTCAGTTACCCTTCCAATGGAGGCAAGCACGCCATAGGCCTTTTTTACTACCTTATCTACCTGCGCTGCCATCTCCAGTGATCTATAGATCTGCACACCCAGATCCCTCTGTTTATCAATAGTCCTAAGGGTTCTGCCATTCACTGTGTAATTTCACCCTGTACTTGACCTTCCAAAATGCATCACCTCACATTTGTCCAGATTACTCCATCTGATATTTGTCCGCATATGCCTCCAGCTGATCTATATCCTGCTGTATCCTTTGAGAAACCTCCTCTCTATCTGCAACTCCAGCAATCTTTGTATTGTCTACAAACTTACTAATTAGACCAGCCATGTTTTCCTCCAAATCATGTATGTAGACAACGAACAGTAGAGGTCCCAGCACTGATCTCTGTGGAACACCACTTGTCACAACCCTCCATTTGGAAAAGCATCCGTTCACAGCCACCCTCTGACATCTATGCTTAAGTCAGTTCTGTATCCATCTTGCTAGCTCATCCTGATACTATATGACTTCATCTTTTGTCCCAATCTGCCATGAGAGACTTTGTCAAAGGCTTTACTGAAGTCCATATAGATAACATCAACCGCTTTTCCTTCATCAATCATCTTTGTCAAAAAACTCAATTGAGTTAGTGAGGCACGATCTCCCTGCACAAAATCATGCTGTCTATCACTCATAAGTCCATTTGCTTTTAAATGCATATAGATTTTGTCCCTGACAATTTTTTCTAATAATTTCCTACCACCAATGTGAGGCTCACTGGCCTGTAATTTTCTGCAGCATTTGCAGGAATTTTTCAATATATCATCGCATTTTGTTGGATAAACCACATTCCCTCAGGTGGTTAAAAGGGTAGGATGTTGTTCATGATGAGGGCATTATAAATAGACAGGACAGGAATGTCCAAATGGTCATTTTTTTCTTATTTCACTCCTTTCCTAAATTGGTATTCTCTTCTGAAAACACTGTCATTCCAATAGAATGGTATAATAGTGGCAACAAAAGAAAAAAGTGCACATTTTAAATTCTTGTCCTACTCATAATGACATTGATCCTTGCCATATTTCCTCTCCTTGTGAGTTGATGAATAATGACACCAGCTGTATAAATACAAAACTTCAGTAATAAAACAATTTTGTGACTCAGTAATTATTGTATTAGGTGCATATACACTGACAAAGAAAAAAACAAGCTATGAGGGTGCTTCCCATGAATTAAACCACTACAAAAAGTCCTGTGTAACACAATCACAGAGAATAAAGATCTGAAAAGAGGCCAAGATTCTAATCGATCTAATCCTTGATGGATCATGTTTAAGTAGTATCAGCGACGGTACCTTGAATGTAAAAAAAACTAAAAGTTCATTAGGGCTGCTGTTTTAACAGGTGAAAAGCCCTTTAGCTGTAGGTGGCCAAACTGTCAGAAGAAGTTTGCCAGGTCCGATGAACTGGTTCGCCACCATAACATGCACCAGAGAAACCTGACCAAACTTCAGCTTACTCTCTAAAAGGTGAACATGACTGCAACGAACTCAAAGAAAAAGTGACAACACACGCTGTTGGGGAACTCTACTTCCTTCTGTTCACCCCTGCTCTAAATGTTGAATAACTCACAGGTTAATGGGACAGAATCGATGTCCACATTTCTATGCCTACCTGATATATGCACCACCAATGTAGTTGTATTGCGCCTCTTCTTCCCATTTATCGTTCAAGCCAGGGTTGCCAACTCTGCTTCAAAGTACTCATGGAGGTTTTGTCGCCTTCTGCCTTCAAACCATACTCAGCCCGTGATCAAACGAACAGTCTCCTTATTTCCCCCATCCTTGAATACAGTATCATCAATATTGCTTACAATTGAAAAAAACAGATGTGTTGAAAGGAAACAAAGAACGTGGAGACTTTCTGTGGTACCCGATATGATTCAACTCCTGAACTATTTACAGCAGGGTCAGCCAGAAATTCCTGGAAACTGCCCAGGACATTCTTGGAGGGTTGGCAACCTTGGTCTGAGTGTGAAAGAAGAGGTGGATTCAAAGCATGTAGCATTGTTAATGGGAATCAGTAGCAAGACACTGCAAATTGGGCAGTGGTGGTGTTCACTGAGTCACTGTTCTTGGGTTGTATGACAATTCATACACTCCTTTGTAAATATTATGTATATAGAGACCTGTTGGAATTGAATACCACTGTATCTCATTTGTTTTTTTTTAACAAAATGGAAATCTAGATGTATGGTAACCATGTGACATGTGGCGAGTGAAAAAAATGGCAAACGTGCAGGTGGGCATTAAAACTATTGGGTTAACCTGTCTTTTGAACCCCATAGTAGATTCACGGAGAAGCAATTAAGTGGGGTAATGATGTTGTTTATCAATTTGAAGTGTACTTTAATCAAATTATGTTAAGGAAGAGGTAAGGTTAACCAGCAATGCTTTACAAACACCTTGTTAAAAAATTGTACACAATATATCGAAAGGCCACGCTGGCTATGTGGCTGATTAGCTGTAATGTTAACAGACATAGTTAAATGAAAGAAAAAGGCTGGTCCACAACTATCATTAACCATTCCTCTTGAAAATAAGTAACTTAATGACTTTCAGAAATCTTCAAGTATGATATGTGAAGAAATCTTTTTAGTGTAATGGATTGTACTGTACCCAATGTTTCTTTGTTCATCTATTTACTGCTACCAGCTGGAAATTATTATGTATATATCTGATAATGTATTGCTGTGCCCAAAAATAGGAGGGTTATTAAAAGTAGAGAATAAACAGAAGAATAGGTACGTCACAGATCTGGTTTGTTTGCTTTAATGTGCTCTGATAACACTGAAAATGCAAGCAGCATTCTCCCTCCCCACCATACTCCCTCCCCCACTGCATTCTTAATTACAGATGACCACAAAGGAGAAAGCGATAGAAGTCTGGCAGCTGTTTTATTTAATGTTTAGTGTCCTATTTTTGGTGCCTTGTTGTTTCCTGAATGCCACTTTGTATTGCTGAATGCTTCCATTTCTGGTCAATATGACAATCCGCTCCCTCTTGGTCTCAGCAGCAATCTGCTCATGTCACATAAAGCAAGTCAACAACAATGACAAATGAAATTAATGTTTATAGAAAGACTTTAGGTTGTTGTGGAGGGGAGGGCGGATGAAGGGGGTCTCAACGGACAGCTTGAGAATCAGTGAGAACTTCACATTTACTGCTTTTTGGGAAGGTTCTGCCACGTCTTGTGCACCCTATCACTTGACAGACCATTGCAGGCCTATCTTTGGAATCAGAGCTGTCAGGGGTGAACAGCTCTGTTGGACAGCAGGGCCACTGGGGAGGTGGTAACTGCTGCCAAGACAACATCCACCCAAGGCCAAGGATCATTGCTGCCAGAAGTGAATGATGGTTGTGAGAGGCTTACAGGGAGAGGATGGTAGGAAGATTGACATCATGGACAGAAGGTGGCTGTCATCAAGCTCCTAACAACTCCTTACCTGACGCACTGAATGGGTTTGAATAATTACTGCCTTGGAAGTCCGCAAACAACCCCAACATGGTGAACCTGCTGGATTATTACCAATGGCTGTGGGATGAGTTCCTTAAGTGCATGTTAATTGTTCACTTAGGGCCTTAATTGGTAATAGAGCAAGACCCAGATGATCAGAGGGCGTTGCTAATAATGGCAAGCAGATGATTTCAATTTCCATACCGGCCAAGATTGTTGGCTTCAACCCAAGATTTTAAGGGCCTGCTTGTGGTGCAGTGGTAATGTCCCTACCCTTGAATGAGGAGGCCCAGTTCAAGTCCCACCTGCCCCAAAGGTGTGTAATAACATCTCTAAACACATTGATTAGACAAATAGGTTAAATAAGAAAACAGACCACCCATGAGCCTTTTTGCCACAGACATAATCGAGGTGGAAGCCAAAAGGTGATGGGAGCCCCAGCTGCTGCACTCCCACACTAGAGTTAAGAGCACAAGAGTCCACTCTTTATCTGAAAGCAAGTTGGACAATGTTCATTGTTTGCCAGAGTCACTCAGCTTCTACAATGAATGGGCTTAGCAAGTAGTGAGCTGGGGACTGCTGAATACTGCTGGCCTTATGATAAAAGGCTGCTCGGAGGTAAATGTTTGAAATTGGGCTTCTTTAAGAAAGACCAGCATTAATATAGTGTCTTTGACAATTCCAGCATGTCACCATGTGTTTTACAGCCAAACAAATACTTTCTTTGAGCTGAGAATTGGCTTTCTCTGTCACACGAAAACCCAAGACAGAAAGTCGTGACCCTGAGTGAAAGTCATCCTAGAATCAAGGGAGAACCAGCAACAACTTTTGAAGAGAAGTCACTGTAATAATGTAGGAAATAGAAGTATCAATTATTGCTTGGCAAGATCCCAATTGCAGTGTGAGATCAACCAAATAATCTGTTTTAGCAATGTTGTTTGAGGAAATATTAGTGGTCACAACACACTTTACCATCTTCACAATAAATTGGTGGGATCTTTCACTTCCATCTGAGAAGGTGGATTGATGTCTTAGTCAAAGGATGACACCTCTGGCAGCACAGTAGTCCTTCAGTAAAGTAAGAAGTCACTGTCGTCTTAGTCTCTCGTTAGAGAGAGATAACTGTTGGTTTAACCTGAGGATTATCACACCTCGGGTGAGGGGAGAGATTGAGAAGGAGAGTCCTTCATGGTAACCTCAGCTGGTGTGGGAATTGAACCCTGGCTTTTGGAATCACTTGGCTTCACAAACTGGCCATCCAGCTAACTGACCCCTTGGTAGTGCAACTTGAAAACACCTTTTTTACTGAGGGGCAGAAGTGGTAGCAAATTAGCCGCCGTTGGCAATTATAGATGAGCACAAATGTTGATGAGTCCCAATGCTACAATTAAAGCATCACTTGTTGCTTTTTGTTAAGACTGTGTTTACTTGCATCACGACCATTCCGACCACATGTCATGTCAGCAGCTAGAGTTACACTGTTTTGTCGGTTTTTTTTAAAAAATAAAGTTAGCTCCAATCGCACTTTACAACTTTTCATATTCAGTTATGGTTCCAAACTATGCTTTCTGCTGCAAATTGCAACATAGACAAGAAACATCTTTTTGAATAAGTTTCAATATTTGAGTATTGGTCAAAAAAAGCTATATTTAGTGGAAGTATTTCATCCTGCATTCATCAGGACAATTTGCAACAATTGATAAGTAAAAATGGAAATCTTCAACAAAGCTGATGTTTTTCAGAAATACTCAGTTTCTGTATTTCTCTAAAACACGCAGTTGTAAACAGAATCTGTACACTATATCATTAAATTTATCTTATTGTAAAGAAATCTCATGGTTTTTTGATTTATACGGTAAAATATACACTGTTCAAATGTGAAACCCAACAAGGTGGCATAAAACTGCAGAATATATTGGAAGGTCAAAGGGAAAATTAAACAGAAGGATTGCTGTAGAAATTGAATATGACAGTAAGAATAAATTTTCTCAGTCTTAAAACAGTGAGAGAGCAAACAGAAGAAATTATAACTTTAAAAGCCACTAATGGGATTGAAACTGAAGTCCAAAGGTTAATTATGAAATGCCTGATTTTTCTGGTATTGACCAGCAACGATCTGTGCAAAACACAACAGAAAAAAAACTTACATTCATATCATACTTTTAATTTAGCCCAGTGTCCCAAGATATTTCATGGAAGCCAAATGAAATGCAAACTGATATCAAGTTGAAGGAGTCATAAGGATAATTGATTAGTTTGGTCAAAAGAGGTTTGTTTTAAGAGGGTTCTTAAAAGAAGGTGGAGAGTTGGAGATGTTTAAAGAAGGAACTCTAGAGAGTGATACCTCAGGATCTGAAGCTGCAGCTACCAATGATGGAATGAAGAAATACAGGGATCCATGAAAGAATTCGAGCAACATGAACAGCAGTAATCCAAACACAATTAAAAGCATTGGCATTGAATGAAGTCCTAGCGAGGCTACCAGGCTTTAAAACCAATGGTATCCCCGAAATAGTAAGTGAGACCATAGTAAGTGGCTGAAGGGTGACCTTATTGTTTTTTAAAGATCATGAGGGGCATGGACAGAATGAATAGCAAGGTCTTTTTCCCAGGGTAGGAGAGTCCAAAACTAGAGGGCATAGGTTTAAGGTGAAAGGGGAATGATTTAAAACGGACCTGAGGAGCAACACTTTCACGCAGAGGATGGTGCGTGTATGGAACGAGCTGCCAGAGGAAGGGTGAGAGTGGGTACAATTACAACATTTGAATATATATGAATAAGAATATTTTAGAATAATTTGGACCAAATGCTGGTAAATGGGACGAAATCTGTTCAGGATATCTGGTCAGCGCGGATGGGTTGGATCGAAGCATCTTGTTTGCATGCAGCATAACTCTGAGATTTGTGAGACTCTAGGAGGTGCAGGCAGACTGGAAACAGTTCAAAACAATGTCCACGTTTAAAATGGCCCAGGCAACTATGGACAAATTAATTACAGAAGATAAAATAGTGGTCACTTACTCTGCGAAAACTTGAGGATTACCCCTTTGGTAATCTATTATAGCAGAAATTCCAGAAGGAGAAATTTCTCCTGTCCGATCTGTTAAACTTTTTTTGTCAGGAATGTTTTGGTCATGGAAAGTCCATCTTTTGATTTCAAACACGCATTGATAGATAAAGTGCCACATAAAGGGCCACTATAGCTGACAGCATTGGGGACTCAAGGTAATTGACTTAAGCAGAACATACTTGTTGGAGAAGTGATCTTTAGGTTACGTGGCTCTGCATTGCATACCCAGGGATCAGTTTCGGTTTCCTGCTTTTCCCTGTATTATGACAGTGATTACACTTCAAATGTGCTTTAATAGCTTTAAAGCGATTAGGGCACCATTTAAATCAGAAAGATGCTATTAAAAAGTAAGTTATGTTTAATGACATTCATTCAGTGAAGGAATAATTTATCGGCTTATGCAAACGTGTCAAATTCAGACAATACCTGACTAGGAGGGGCAGTGGAATCTGAAAAGTCATCTCAGGAACTAAGCAATGAGCTAGACAAGAAATGTAAGCAGATGAAACAATAATAAGTAAATTTTAATATGCATAAGTATAACACACGATGGATAGTAAGAAAAATCGGTGGCATGAGTATTTCATAATGATTCTAGAGCTGTTGAAGTTGAAACTAGCTTTGTTTGAGAAACCTGTTCAAATACTATGAAACAGTAGTCAACAGAGCAAATGGAACATTAAACTGTATAACAAAATAGAAAAAAATCATCGATTAATTGCATAACATGCTGATCAATCCACATGTTGTGATGTAGTAACAGAGGAATAGATGAAGGCCATTCAGCCCTTCAAGTGTGTACCACCTTTCATTTAAATCACAGCTGATCTCCTTATTCCTTAATACCCTTGCTGAACAAAAGTCTATTAATCTTAAATTTGAAAAGTTTAAGTAATATCTAGCATCAACATCTTTTTGGGGCAGACAGTTCCAGCTTTCCACGACTCCTTGTGCGAACAAGTATTTTCTCCTACTTCTCTTGAACTACCTAGATCTAATTGTAAAGTTATGCTTCTTTGTTGGGACTACACCAGCAGACTATAATAGTTCAATTTTATCAGCCCTACCAACTCCTTTAATCGTTTTAAGCACCACAATTAGATCATCATCAACCCTAGCAATATCACTAATTAATGAGGCAACAACACCAGCATCATTAACAAGCATTGAAACTTCAACCAAGTCACTAAGAAGTGACAAAACATTGTCACCATGAAGCACAGC